CTAAATAAAAGCTAATATGTAGAATTAAATTAATTATCTATTTCTAACATTAAAATAATTAATTAACTTAAGACTAATATAAGAAAAATACTAATTTTAAAACTAAAGCTAAAAAGTAAAAATGACCCATATTTTTTGTGATTTTCGTTAAATAAAGAAATTAACTCATGTATTTAAATCCTAAAATGCCATTAAGATCTAGAAATCCTATGCAATAAAATATTTTAAAAATTTTGGTATTCTTTTCTCATGATTTTAAAAATGTTAAAAATGCATGAAAGATGCAACTAAATGCAAATAATTACCAAAAATTTCTTTAAAATCTATAAAAAAAAATTAAAAATAATTAAGAAAAAATCTATTTATTGATTTTGTGGGAGTATTTTTGCTGAGGCAAAAATACGTGCTCACAATGGTTTGAGTGTTTACTAACTAAGAACAAAATATTTAGAAAGCTGTAATTTTATGACTAACAAAGCAAATGTAGTAGACAAGATTGGAAAAGTCTAGGTTTTGATTTCCCCTATTGTCGAATCTCCCCCGCTACGTTTTCTATAAATTTACTCAAGTAATCTCTATCGATCGTGAGTACTTTGAGTGTCGTAGATCTCTCTCGAGCAACTACCACAATTTATAGACGTATTCTCTCGAACTACGCTAGCTGGCACTAATTCACCGCTCACTATGATCGCACCAATATTTCGTTATCTTTAATCCCTCCTTTAAATCCGCCGTATTAATCTTTCAAATACTTTAAGAGTGGTGTTGTTCAACAAACTACCTAAATGTGTACTCTCTCGCGAGCAGTACACACTAAATAAGCACAGTCAATTGAGGGCCATTCAACCAATAATAATAATAATAATAATAATATAGTTGAACAACTAGAGAAAAGTAAATGGCAAATTTATATTAAACGCAATGGACAAATCATCTTCAATAGGTTCCCTCAAATCCTAGATGAGAATTGAGCTACTCATAGTTGTTTGCATAAAATACAAGATTATAATTCATAACAATGGAAAATTAGGAAGAAAGAGGAAAAAATGTGAAGTTGAATCCTTCTCCTTGCTCCAAGCGCGTTCTTTCCTCTCCAAAGTCTTCTCTCTCATCAAAAAGTGGCTAACTCTCATATTTATATGGTTTAGGGTTGGGTTGGGCCGAAATTGCTTCTCCTAATTCGGATTGGAAAACACTGAATTTCTCTGCTCCGGTCCCGGTCTGGCGAAGTGAGCCTTGCTTCGTTGTCTGAGACTTTTCTGGTTTTTTCTGCTCCGGTCCCGGTCTGGCGAAGTGAACCTCGCTTCGCTGTCCAGGACTTTTCTCTTCAGCTCTTTTTTTACCAATTTTTCTCCCATTTGATCCGTTCCCGCACAAGTTTGTTCCTACACATAAGAAACACGTAATGAGCATATTTTCACTTCAAAAGCGATGTAAACTCCCGTAACTCACACAAAATAACACACATACACACTCAAAACATGCATTTTTCATCCTTTATCAATCACCCTAGTGACCCTACCTACAGTCCTCCATCCGGAGAACTTTCTGATGAGTAGGGTGTTCATCTATAATACTTTATATCTATAACACTTTTGATCTGCTAGATATGCTCTAAAATTATTGTTGTTAAGCACATATAGGAGTAAATTTACTCCATTGTATCTCTTGTTTTTTCCTTCAAAGGTTATTATCACGACCCGGATTTCCCACCGACGGGATCGTGATGGCGCCTAACTTTTCAGAATGCTAGGCAAGCCAACAGATAGAGATTTAATACGCTAGCCACTATCCAATTCAGTAAATAATAGTAGTAATTAAACCAAAATAGAGTAAAGGAGTGCGGAATTTCATAATAATCCAAGTACTGATACACGACTACCCAAAATCTGGTGTCACAATCCACAAACTTCTAAGGGTCACTACAAATACTGGCTGAAAGAAATACAATTGTTCTCGAATCTAAAAGAAAACAGAAAACTAGGATAACTGGAAGGGGACTCCAGGGTCTGCGAACGCTGGCAGATCTACCTTGGGTTTCCTGTTGGACTGAAGGCAGCAGCTCACTCGGGTCAACACGGTCCAGTACCAAAATCTACACAGAAAGTGCAGAGTGCAGTATCAGTACAGCAGACCCCATGTACGCCTAACCTTGGCGAAGTAGTGACGAGGCTAGGACAAGACACATGCATAAACCTGTGCAGTTAAGCAATATATGGGCATAATAACAAATAATAGAAACTATACACATAACAACGGGAGGGGGGAAGAACATGCTGAGGGGAGGACGAGATCATGAGAATAGAACAGTAAAGAAACACAGTAAAACAATGGCACGGCATCACCCTTCGTGCTTTTACTCTCGTCCTCACCATAACAAATGAAAGGAACAATGATAATGAATATAAAATGGCACAGCATCACCCTTCGTGCTTTATGCTCTTCCTCACATGATAATGAATATGCAATGGCACGGCATCACCCTTCGTGCTTTACACTCTTCCTCACATGATAATGAATATGCAATGGCACGACATCACCCTTCGTGCTTTACACTCTTCCTCACATGATAATGAATATGAAATGGCACGGCATCACCCTTCGTGCTTTACACTCTTCCTCACATGATAATAAATATGCAATGGCACGGTATCACCCTTAGTACTTTACACTCTTCCTCACCCAAACAACAAAACAATAACAACCGGGCAATAGAATTATTAATAACAAGCCCCATTTCAATATTTAGTTTCACAATGTCAACCTCAACCTTGGTCAATACTCAACCAATATGCAATTCCAGGAAACATGATAAGAATTGCTCAACATGAAGAATAACCAGTTTAAGCATGAACAATACGAATAAAGAATACCACAATTACAAGAATAAGACTCACTCGCATGCTATGACCCGACAACAACGCATAGGTACTCGTCACCTCACCTATACGTTGTACTCAACAACCAAACACATAGCAAATAGGCAACAATACCTAATACCTCAAGATAAGGTTAGCCACAACACTTATCTCGCTACCACGGCCAAACTCAAAGCTCAATCGCTGCTTTTCTCTTCACACTAGCCTCCGGGCCAATAGAATCTAGCAATTACCAACCAAACAATTCAATTTAAGCCTTAGGAACTACCCACGATTGCAAGGAATTCAATTTAGGCCATTTTGGAAAAAAATCAACAAAAAGTCGACACCCGGGCGCGCTTGGTCCAAACTCGAAACTCGGACCAAAACCTAATTACCCATTCACCCCCGAGCCCGGATATACAATTGGTTTTGGAATCCGACCTCAATTTGAGATCTAAATCTCCAAATTTTGAAATCCCTAGTTTCTACCCAAAAATCCCCAATTCCACCATGAAAATCCTAGATTCTAGGTTGAAATCTTGTTATAAGAAGTGAAAGATTGAAAGAAAAGAGTTAAGAATCATTTATCTATGATTTGGGGAAGAAATAACCTTTGGAAATCACCTCTTTTGGGTCGTGACAAGTTGGTATCAGAGCTCTAGGTTCATAGGTGCTACGAGTCATAAGCGAGTTTAGTAGAGTCTTACGGATCGCTACGGAGACGCATGTACTTATCTTCGAAAGGCTACAAAACTATTAGGACAGATTCACTTCTTTCATTCCTGTCGTACGAGNTCCGCAAATGCGACAAAATGATCGCATTTGCGATCACTGCCCCTCCCAGCTTTACTTCGCAAATGCGAAGAAATCTTCGCAATTGCAAAGACTGCATGGCCCAGCTTCTAATCGCAATTGCGATAAAAGCCTCGTAAATGCGGAACCTGCAGGGTTCGCAATTGCAATGCCTGATCTAGCAATTGCGAGATCAGAGGCTTGCAACAAGTTCAATCATACCAGCAAAATTTTCTAAGTTCCAAAACACCTCATAGCCTATCCGTAACTCACCCGAGCCCTCGGGGCTCCAAACCAAACATGCACACAAGTCTTAAAGCATCATACGAACTTGCTCGTGCGATCAAATCGCTAATATAACATATAGAACTACGAATTTAGCACCAAATCATATGAAATTATCAAGAACACTTTGAAATTCCTATTTTCACAACCGGACGTCCGAATCACGTCAAATATACTCCGTTTTTCACCAAATTTCACAAACATGACTTAAATATTATATTAAACTTGTATCGGGCTCTGGAACTAAAATACGTGCTCGATGCAACGAGATCAAACATTAATCAGTTTCTTTAAACCATTTGATTTTCAGTCTAATAATTTCTAATAAAAATTCATTACTCGGGCTAGGGACCTCCGAATCCGGGCATACGCCCAGGTCCCATATTTTACTATGGACCCACTGGGACCGTCAAAACACGGGTACGGGTCCGTTTAACCAAAATATTGACCGAAGTCAACTAAAATTAACTTTTTTGGCCAAAAATTATTATTTCATCAATTTTCCACATAAGAGCTTTCTGGAAACACGCCCGGACTGCGCACGCAAATCGAAAAGGAATAAAATAAGATTTTGAAGGCCTCGTAACACGAAATTGGGTCCTAAAACACAAGATGGCCTTTCGTTCCGTACAGAATATAGTGTATTTAAACTCCACAAAATTAATAATGATTCTTTACAATGAGTGATGGTATGGATTATGATGATTGATGCATAAAAAGGACTAAAATTAAATGTAATTTAGATTCCTATATATATATATATATATATATATATATATATAAGAAAAGATAAACTAAATTTGTATAATAATATCATCTCAATTTTGAGCCGATTGACTATGAATTCGGCTATGAGTCGAAGTAATTGTCATATTGATAGGAGCATATTATATTTGCCATGTAGTAGACAAAACTTGGCATGACCATATTAGACCCCCTTGTTCACGTGCAAAGTTTTAGGAGTTTTGTTTGTTTTCACCACTTAAATCATTTCATTCTATATAACATCAACATTTGTACCAATATCTCAACCCTATCCCCTTTCCTCACTTGAAAAAAAAAATGGATTCCTCCAAAAAAACATCTCTTCTTTTCATCTCTATACTTCTCATAATTTCTTCAATCACTCCCATACTTGGTTGTAGCCATTGCAAAAAACACAAGAAACCCAAAACTATTCCCAATATTCCACCTATTAATAATATTCCATCACCACCAAAAGAGGCTACAACTTGCCCTATTGATACACTTAAACTTGGAGCTTGTGTTGATCTTCTTGGTGGGCTAGTTCATATTGGGATTGGTAATCCTGTAATTAATGAGTGTTGTCCAATTATTCAAGGGCTTGTAGAAATTGAAGCTGCAGTTTGTCTTTGTACAACTCTTAAGCTTAAGCTTCTAAATCTTAACCTTTATGTCCCTTTGGCACTTCAACTCCTTCTTACTTGTGGCAAGACTCCACCTCCTGGCTACACTTGCTCTTTGTAGACTTTTTGAGTTAAGTATGCAATTTCTTGTACTACCCCTTTAACCTTTATATATCTCTAGCTTGCATTATAATTATTTTTATATTAATGATATTCGGGCCAGTTTGTGCGTACCGACTTTTTTAGTGGATATCTGCTACCTCTTACTAGCATGATATCGGGTAACTCTGCCTATCAAGAATTAAATCTTGAGACCTCATGGTTTTCGTCCCGCATCACTGACCAGTAGGCCACACCCTTAAGTGCTAGATTGTATTATAAATTCGTTTTGTTTTATGTAGAAACATTTAGTGTGGATTATAATGTTGTACATTTATTTGATACAACACATGAAGAGGCATAGCTAAATGGTCCAAGAAAGTCCAATTGAATACCTTCTATCAAAAAAAATTGTGCACATTGGGTAAGAGATAATTTTTTTAATTTATGTCTAAATTGTTGAATTCCCTTAATATAAGAGAAACTTGTACTGTTATTTTTTTTATATATATATATAAGTGGCAAAGTGGATCAATATATTGTAGTTTCGAAATTCAAGTATGGTTTTCTTGTAATTTTTTTGAATCTCTTTATTACAATTCTTGGTTCGATCAGTGAATAAACTCAAGTTTGGTACTCTTGTAATTGTTTTCATCTCCTTATTAGAATTCTTGGTTACATTCTGATTATATTTTCTAATAATGTGAGAAGTTGTTGTTTTATGTGTTATTGACTAGTAAACTTAACTTTTTTAAAAGTAATATTTTATGACCTTTGCTACTTCATATTTAATTTACGTCTATTTATTATATATATTTAAAAAGGTGGTTAAGCTCATTTTAGTCATAAATTATTCTGAAATTGCAGGTTGCAAGCTAAGGTTTGGAGGATTGTATGGACTATATTCGACATGAGAGGATGTTTTAGTTTCTGATTAATTATTTTCACTTTCCAACAACCCCCACACCAAATTGTATCTCGTGATCGGTACTACTGTCCCCCCCCCCCCCCCCCACCAACCCCCACCCCAAAACCCTTTTTTACCCAAAAGTGGTACTACTGTTGATTTTTGTCTTTTGTAGAATAGTAATTAGTTTATGAAAACTATTTATAAATTAATGCTTTTATTTGATTTTTGCAAAGATGAAAAAGTGTATTGATAACTTTTTTTCTATGTATTGTTTTTTTTTCCCGCTTCTAGTTCTATTACTGCTAATTTTTGTCTTTTAATTTGTTCACTTAATGTTTAATTAATTTTTCACTGCCCCACCCCCACCCCCACCTAGCCCCCACCTCCCATAAAAGGAAGAACAAGAAGAAGAAGAGGAGTAGGATAAACGTTCTTTTTCCCCAAAGAAGTGAGATATTATATAATATTTGTATAGTTTAAGCTCGTGAATCAGTGGCGGACCTATGTTACGATTACGAGTGCTCGAGTATCCATTACTTTGGAGTCATACATTATTATTTAGATAAAAAAAATTAGTAAATTTATACAAATATATTAATCGTGCACTTAGTTACAGTAGCAATTTTTAGATTACAACTAGTTTAACAGACAGAAATTAAATATTCTGGTCCGCCACTTTTGTGAATAGCAAATGAGGAGAAAATAGAGAACGGAGTTATGATTATTAGCCCGGAACGTGAGTGCAATCACAAAATTTTAAGATTAATTATGTAATTTATTTCAACAAGTACGACTCTAGGGTAAGGCAAGTAAAACTCTTGCATTAGACCCCCAAATATTTAAGGCCTCAAAAATAGAAAACACTATTATATCATTATATAATATATGTAATTTTTATATTTATACAATTATTAATAAAATATTTTAAATTTTAATATTTTTTAAAAATTCAGTAGAGATAGGATTGAATGAGTTAATAGGATAAAATTTTTCTCTCGATAAATTAATAATATATTTACCTTCTCATCAATTCTATTTTTCTTTCTTTATTTATAATCTTTTTCCATATTTTTTAATATTTTATTTTCTAATTTCAACCCAGAGTCTCTAAATTAGTTATTCCTTTTTGTCACATTTGATTGATCCACATATCAGAAAGTAAGTTCTTTTGTCTCATCATTTTTAACTAAGAAATCCCCGAGACAAGTGTCGTAAGGTTCAAAACACGATGGATAATAGGCTCGACCCTTTTATCATTTTTACTCAATGTTATGTTTTTATACACGGAAGGGAGCCTTGGCGTAACTGGTAAAGTTGCTGCCATGTGACCAGGAGGTCACAGGTTCGAGCCGTAGAAACAGCCTCTTGCAGAAATGCTGGGTAAGGTTGCGTACAATAGACCCTTATGGTCCGGCCCTTCCTCGGACCCCGCGCATAGCGGGATCTTAGTGCACGGGTTGCTATATTTTTATACATGGGAGAATTCAATACCACATGATGTGCGTCTTACCCACGTAATATACGTTGCTCTTTCACCAATAGATCAAAGCCATGTAGTCTATTTTTTTAATCTCAATATTATATGAATTTTGTGAAAGAAATTTCAGGGTCTTTTAATATATTTTAATTTTAAGACATCAGTTCTGTTAAGCCGCCCTGATTAATGAAAAAAAAATATTTGTATATCACTGCGCTATGAACGTGTTGTTCAACCAGCTTCATTCACATTTGGTAACTAAATAACAAATTCACTGATTGTTGTCTTATCTTAATTGAAACTCTATAAAATTTGATTGAGAATGTCAGGGGTGGACATGTAGCCCAAGCCTCAAGTAGGAGACTAGTAAATCTTTGATTTAGGTCCCCAAATAATTTCAATAATGGAGTTTGTGATTTTATTTCAAGTTAGACATTATTAAAGTTTGTAAAAATAAAGTACAAAAAAACCTTGGACAAAAGAAAGAAAGATTGTCTACTCTTTAACACTAAAAATATTTTAGAACTTAGAATTAAATTACTTAAATTTTCATATTAATAAATATTTTTTTACGACAATATCAAAGGTAACATATCTAAAGTTTCTTCCATCTCTTCGATCCCATTCCTCGCTGAAAATTGTTGCTTGTAGCTATGGGAGAAATCATCGCTAGTATTCATTACCGGATCAAAGCGTGCGGGGGACGTCAAAATCAGTTGGAGGCAGCAGAAAATTGACTAAGGTTACTACGGCAGCGCGGCCTTGACATTTATGATGAGTCACTTAGGTTTTGCACTAATCGAGAGTTGGTACCTCTTGTTCTTCATTTAATATCTCTGTCTTCCCTTGTTAGTATCCAATTAGATTCTGTTAGTTTAAGCCTAATTCTTGACTGCCTATAATTATTTAGTGCATCTGCCTAGATATTTTTCTTGCTAGTAACTGCTTTTGGATTTATAGACTATAATTTGATATCTTAGTATTTGTTATGTTGGCCTTCTTTTAGATATTAGGCGGGGACAGGATTCGAACCTGCAATCTTCAGGTCATGAGCCTGACTCATTTAATTCTTGCTTGTCTGTTTGTCTTCTGTATGCATTTCTAGTGGTTAGAGTTATAGTGTTAGACCTGCCTCCTTTAGTTTACCTTTATCTATTTTAGCGGCAGTTTAAGCGTAATTTTCCATAGATTATACTGTTTGGGGTGAGTGATGGTGGAATAAGCTCATGTCCTCGGGTGGGGTGAGGGGGGGAGGGGGTAGCGAAGATCATCCAAGAGAGAAAAATCAACATAGCTTGTGTCTAGGAGACTAGATGGGTGGGTTCGAAAGCTCGAGATGCTGATGGGTTTAAATTGTGGGTCTCAGGACGCGAGAGGGGTTAGAATAGGGTAGGTATCTTGGTTGCCAGGGATCTTAGTGAGCTAGTGGTAAAAGTTAGGAGGGTGAACGGCAGGCTAATGGCTATTAAGCTGGTAGTGGGAGGGTCTACTTTAAATGTGATTAGTGCTTACGCGCCTCAAGTGGGTTTGGACGAGGAGATTAAGATGCGCTTCTGGGAAGAATTTGACGGGTTGGTACATGGCATTCCGCTCAACAAAAAGCTATTCATAGGAGGTGACTTTAATGGTCACATTGGGGAGACATCTGGGGGTATAACGGCGTGCATGACGGCTTTGCCTTTGAGTTAGGAACGGAGGAGGTACTTTGTTGTTGGACTGCCCTAAAGCCTTTGATTTGGTGATTGCTAACTCGTATTTTTTGAAAAGGGGGGAGCATTTGGTTACATTTCGAAGTTCGTTGGCCAAGACTCAAATTGATTATCTACTCCTCCGGAAGTACGATAGGAGTATGTGCATAGATTGCAAGGTTATACCAAGCGAAAATCTCATGACTCAGTATAGATTATTGGTGATGGACTTAAATATCGTGAGGAAGCGGAGGAAGAGGGTCGTGTATGGTCAACCCAAGATCAGGTGGGGTGCTTTGACTAGTGACAAAGCGCAGGAGTTGGAGGGGGAGTTGTGGGCTATGGGAGCATGGAGGAGCAGCGGGGACGCGAGCTATATGTGGACCACGACAGCGGAGTGTATTAGAGTAACTGCGAGAGAAGAATTAGGGGTCTCGAAGGGTCTCTAGCAGCCACAAAGGTGACTGGTGGTGGAGTGAGGAGCTATAAGAGAAAGTGGAAGCCAAGCAAGCAGCGTACTTGATGCTTATAAAGATCATAGATGAGGAGGCGAAGATGATGAACATGGAGGAGTATATGAGGGTTAAGAAGAAGGCGAAGTTAGCGGTTACGGCGGCTAAGGTTGTGGCGTTTGGGCATTTGTATGAAGAGCTTGGGGACAAAGGCGGAGACAAGAAGCTATACAGGCTAGCCAAGGTAAGAGAGAGGAAGGCCCGTGATCTGGACCAAGTTAAGTGTATCAAAGATGAGGAAGGTAGCCTGTAAGCTATGTAGACATATTTCCATAAACTCCTGAACGGAGAGGGCGATAGGGACATTGTGCTAGGTGACTTGAAGCACTCCGAGATGCGCTGGGATCTCGGGTATTGTAGGCGCATAATAGTAGAGGAGGTCGAGGGGGCTATGCGTAAGATGCATAGGGGTAGAGCTACCGGGCCAGATGAAAT